TGAGTACTTTCTCCACCACTGCCTAGCAGACAATTTTATGAATGGAGAATGTTTTTAGTTATGCTGACTGAAACATCCCTGTATGTTTGGTTTACTTTATGGTCTCAAAGACTAAGTGTTAAAATTTTAATTAGCCTCAAAGGTTTCTGATACTTATTACTTTACCTAACCACAAATATTCCTGATCTTCTTTAAAAATCGTCCTGTTATTCCGTCTTATGTGGAGAGCACGCCCCCTAGTGTTCAAAATACAGAGATGCAATCACTTTACCAGACCTTTCTGCAGTTCTGGACAGTGTGAAGATTTTTTTCCCCTGAAACTTTGAAAAAGAAAACTTTCTTTTTGTAACAATAGTAACTTTCCATTTAAATTTTTCAATCGCACAATGTGAACAAGCAACAGTTACATTTAATAGTCAAATATTTCACTGACTGAATCTGAGGTTCATTTTCTGATATGAGTGAAAAAATATGTATAATTTTTTTTATAATTTTGTATAATTACAAAAATAAGTTGTTTTTTTTGTTTTGTTTTAAAAAAATAAATAAAAAAAAGCTGTTTTCATGTCAAGCTCTTTTTCTCACCTTTACTTAAAGCCAATCGGATTTATTTCATCTATTGTTTTTTGTGCAAAATTAATTACACTCTTTAAATAATAGTAGTAATTTTATTCTCACATTGCATTATAGCAGTCATGTAAGTTTCCTTATTTTTTTATGTACAGTATTAAAAATAAATTACCAGTTCCAGTTTATATTACTAAATTGTGTTTTCCTGAAAAACTTTCCTTTGGACCATGTTATAACTGTTGAACTTTCCTTATAGACTTATTCGTGCATTTATTATCCATTACCCCAGTTTTTAGGGATCAGACTTGATTTTTGATAAATTAAGCTTTCAGCTCAGCTATACCCAGGGGAACAACTTTCATAACTGAGGCAAACTTTATATGCACTTATCACTTTCATGATGTTCCCATTATGGTTACATTTATCCCCAAATAACTATATGCAATGATGACTATATTTCTATCAATATATTTATTTTTATATAAGCTTTTTTGTTTCCATACTATTTCTTTATGTGGAGAAAAATCGTGCGTATGATACCGTGTCCAAAAGATTAAAGCCTGCTGATGAAACTGAGCATTTTACAGGCAACTTAAAGACAAGTTGCAACTTAGCAAAACATTTAAAACCGCTTCCATTTTAAATATGTGGTGTAGAATAAGATTCTGGCTTCTCAAAACACTTTTTTAAAATTTATTTAACTTTAAAGATGTGGCATCAAATTCTTTATTGAGACAAAGCATGTATTTTTTTACATGCTTTGTAAAAAAAAAAGCATGTAAAAAATGCTTTTTTACATGCATTTTTTTACACCCTCATAAGAGATGACGAGGGTCTTATGACCCTCGTCATCTCTTATGACGAGGGTCTTATGAGGGTGTAATGATTCCAACTTACCGCTAGGGGGAGATAGTCGTTAACTTCATCAGCGGAAGCTGTTTTTTTCTGGTTTTGATTCAGTTTGTTGACATGCTGCAGGTAGATAGCTGGTCCACAGCATGACTGAGGAGGACGGTGTGGATTTGAGCGGCGGTTTGGAGGATGTTCCTGTTATATGTGAAGCTCTGACACCTCCGACATTCAAGGTGACGACACCCAAACCCTTTCCGCAGATGAATACCCCCGGTAGCTAACAGTAACTGAATTATTACTTTGAGGCAGGAAAAGGGACGCGCAGAATCGACGTTTTGCTTTCTCGGAATTGTCATAACCGGAACAAAATTGCTTGCAATTTAACATTTTAGCTGCTTTTGTGAACACTAAAATAGTTTTAATACTTGCTTGGTCTGCGAATTCAGTAGACATTTAATGAGTCCGGGGTATTTCTATTTTATTTTATTTTATTTTATTGATTTGTTTTTATTATTTTATATGAATAATAAAACATAATACCTTGTGAGTATTGGATTAAATGCCTTTTAAACTGTAGCCATCTGCTCTGAGAAGCCTCACCTCCATCAGCTGAAATGCCTTGTTTCACCAGCAGGTGTCAGTAAATCATCACTGCAAACATAACCTGTCTCCAACTTGTAGCGAATCAAACAATGACTGCCTTTCTACAACCTTAGCAGGAGGATGTAGACTGATTTATTATGCCCACAGGTAGGGTTACGTATTGTGTAAGCTGATTACAAATGAATGACAGTTGTAGTCTGAAAAAGTATGTAAAACATTGGCACACCTTTTGTTAAGCGATAAACAGTAACATCTTTGAGCTGTGAACCTGTTTGACTTGTTTACTGACATGAAAATTAATTAATTTCATGAATTTTTATTTCTAGTTGCACTCTTTTTACACGTATAGTGCCTTGCAGAAGTACACAATCACAAGCATCCACATATTTTATGTACCAGACTATCACAAAGAAGGATGCTATTGTTGTACAGTTGGTAGCATCGTAGCCTTGAAGCAAGAAGGTCTTGGGTTCAAAACCCGACCTTTCTGTGTAGAGTTTGTATGTTCTCCCTGTGCATGCAGGGGTTCTTTCCTGGTACTCCAGGGTAAATCATGACAGTTAGATTAATTAGTCTCTTTAAATTTCCCTTACGTGTGTATGTCTGTGTGTGTGTACGCATGGTTGTTTGCCCTGTGATAGGCTGGTGACCTGTCCAGGGTGTATCCTGCCTCTCACTCAATGGCCGCTGGTGTTAAGCACAGACCGATGTATCTTTTTCCATCCCTTTTACTTTTATACACCACATTGTGTCAATCTCACAGAAATCCCTACAAAGTATAAATTTATGGATGTAAAACTTCAGAAATTATTCAAGCCATATGAATATTTTTCCAATTTTTTTATTTTATTTTTTTTTATTAATCTGGTGCAGCTTCTGTAATTTTCTGTTTTTCTCAAGTATTCCGCAGATAACGTTCAGGGCCCAGGATGCTCCGTAGATCCAAGTGAAGTCACCCTTCCTGGTTGCTCCTGTAATTCCCATTCCTGCCACCCCGAGACCTGCACTTGCCTTCAAACGTCCGACAAGGTCTATGATGACACGGGCAGGCTGCTGAACCTCGACGGACCTGAATCCGGCTACTCTTCCCCCGTGTTTGAGTGCAATGCCCTTTGTACCTGCAGCGACACCTGCTCTAACCGCGTGGTAGGGAGGGGGCTCCGGCTCAGGCTGGAGGTCTGGCGCACCAAGAGCAAGGGCTGGGGAGTACGAACAATGAAAGAAATTCCTCGCGGGATGTTTGTGTGCGAATACGCGGGGGAGGTGATCACTTTCGCGGAGGCCAAACGCAGACAGCTCACCCAGAGAGCCGAGGAGAACAATTACATCATCGCCGTCAGGGAGCACGCGGGGACGGGCTCCGTCACAGAGACGTTCGTGGACCCCGCTCGGACAGGAAACGTGGGCCGCTTCCTCAACCACTCCTGCGCACCGAATCTGTACATGCTGCCCGTTCGCGTTCACTCTGCCATACCGAGGCTGGCGCTGTTCGCCGGACGGGACATACACGCACAGGAGGAACTGACGTTTGACTACTCGGGAAGATATGGCGCCCAAAAGCCCGTAGAGGCGCCATCCGGGGACGGACTGAAGAGGAAGCAGTGCCACTGCGGTTCGGTGAACTGCACGCGCTTCCTTCCGCTCGATTTATCGATCCTCGGCTGAAATAAAGTTGTTTTTAACTCAACTGTAAAAAAACAAAAGAAACAAACAAACAAAAAAAAGCAGTTTGTCCATGATGAGTTTCCTTGAACCCTCGGTCAGTTCAGCAGCTCATTAAGACAAGACTGTGGAGCGCATCGGCAGTTTCCAGCACAATCGTTTGGATGAGTCATGGCTTCGCTCGTCACCGTTTCCTGTTTGGTTCCCTTCTGATTCTCCCCCTGTCTTAATGCTGCCTCCCACTCGCTGTAAAAACAGATATGAATAAGATAAATAAGAATAAGAAAAAAAAAATGCTTTATTTATCTAAGGGAGTAAACCTACTGTTATTCCAACCCATTTCACCTGATATGGGATATTTATTTCCTGTCCTGGTTGAGTCCCAACAGACTTTCAGTCTGTCTCCTTCCATTTTTCACACCACAAGGACTGGTATTTAATAAGTTTCTTTAGACAGACACAAAGGCTTACGCAAATTAGAAGGGACAAATTCCTGTTAGCTGTAGATATTTATGTGTCTATTGGTTCGACATTTATCGTTGGGATGTGTAATTTCCCATTTTCTTACATATTTTTTCTGCTTCTGATGGTGCTGGATCACGAGAGGTGGGAGGTGGGGTACAAGTTTATATAGAAACCGACTTTATTCCCCCGGCAAAGGAGGGGCGAAGGTGTCCTACTTTAGCGTTAACGTGACCATAACGAAATCAGGACCATCTCCTCTCGATCTGCCCCATTTCTAGTCTAGACCTGCTTTCATCTTATTAATATCCACATTTGGGTTAATTAGGATGGAGACCATGTTTCATCCTGAAATGGGACCAGTGCTGCAGCCACATTGGGGTGGAGAGGAGGGTGGTGGTGGTGCATAGACGGCACCGAAAACCTTCTGTCGATCGGAGCGGTGTGGCGAATTGACTGGATTCTGCAGTTAATGCAATTATTTGAAAGTAAGAAAAAGTACCTTAAGAATATTTTAAGGGTACATTCACACTTGGGTTATGCCACAAGACGATCCAAAGCACACCGACAAGTCCAACTCTTATCAGCTCTAAAAGAAAAATTTAAGATTTTGGACCTTAAATTTTCTGCATGACCTTGATTATCAAAAATCCTCCAATGCAGCTGAATTAAAGGAGACAGAGCCACAATTCCTCCACGTCGTTGTGAAAGGCTCACTGCTGCCAACTGTTGCTCAACAAGTGATTAGGTCTAAAGGGTGATTCCACATAAGGCCCTCATAGAAACATTTGTGTGACAAAAAAGATGAATATGGAAGAAACGTCTGAGAGGAGTTGCATGCGATATGCAGCCAAATCAAAGGTATTTGATAGGGTGCAATCAGGATAATCAGAAATGTTCAACATTCATGTGGAGAGGTGTAGCTTGATGCTACACTCCCTTTTCCCTGGGAAGTAGGGCAGGGAAAAGGGAGAAAATTAACACTGAAACATAAGTTCCATCTCCTAATTCAATCGTTGGATAATTCAGATCATTTTTAGCTCTTCTGTTTGTTCGTTTTTGCTTATAATGAAGAAATGTCATTGGTGGTAAACTTTATTTAGCATGACACCTAGAAATGAGGGCTACTTCCTTTTTGCCTTTGGATGAATTCAATTCAATATTTCAAACGTCAGTGTAAGAAGAAAAGCTTTTTTCTTTTTTTTTTAAATCCATGACTCATGTCATTCTTGAGTCAGATGTCCCTGGAATCCCCATGACAACCGGCGGTGTGTACAGGAGGTGATTTGGACAGACACTGGCTGATTCGGGAGGCGCGCGAAGGCCGATCTCAGATCTGCCCGGCAGAACGGCTGCGAACGAGAGCAGCTCCTTTCCAGCACTGTCACCTAGCAACCGGCACTTAATCACATGAGGTGAACTTCCCTGCAAAACTCCCTGTGTACCCTCCCAGCCCAAAACCTAACATGAGAACACAGAGAATGAAACGTGTTCAGAGCAGGAGGGTGCTTTAGTCGGGATGTGATTGGATTTTTAGAGGCGCAGCGGTTCTCCTCTGGCCTTTGCTAAATATCATTTCCAATGAAAACACAATGTTTTCATTGTTGGTACTCAGTGGAGTTGTCATAATATAATCTTCTCATTCCCAAAGTGACAGGTACTTTTGGTACCTGTCACTGTGATGGGAGGAGTCAATGTGAGAAACCTTTTTCACACCGTCCTCTCTTAGCAGGAAAGAGACACGGCTCTCTACTGCTTACCCTGTGGAGGGAAAGCCGTAGAGAGCAAAAAGGATCACGTTTTGCTGTGATTCCTTTAAACCACTGAGGTTTGAAAAATTGCCCAGAGCCTTTTAGTCATAACCCTTGAACTTTTCCACACTTTTTTTTTCCCCAGATTACAACTACAACCTTTTGTGTGTTTTATCGAGATTTAATGAAATAGACCAACACAAAGTAGTGCATAATTGGGAAGTGGAAAATTGTTTTCATGATTTGTTTTTTAAAAAAAAAATAAAATCTGTGTGGTAGGCATTTAAGTCAGTGCAGCTTTATGTGTTTTACCAGTTTAGAGATTGAAATCGTTCATTCTTCTTCATATTATAAAGAACGCGATGGACCAGAATCCTCCTTATGAGACTTTTACACAATTATAATGTTTTCAGTCAGACTTGCTGGAATACAGACTGCTACAGGAGATCCTTCATGCCCAAAGACATAAGCATCAACTTTAACCTTCTCCACAACTTTTTATACAGTGTGTTTTGTTTTAGTTTTTATGATGCTGTTTGTTCACTGAAGTTCTCTCAGCGAATCTTTAAAGTCGTCAGAGTACAGCTGGATTTTGACTGACATGAAATTACACCAACTCTATTCATTAATTAGGTGGCTTCTGATGGTGCCGGATTAAATTTCATTAATTATAAACCTAGCTGAATTTGCTTGGAGCTGTAAGAACTGAAATGCAGGAATGGCCGCATAAAATAAAAGAAGCAATTAATGCATTACATGAAATGATGGTAGTGTATGGTTAAATATTAATTGATTGAGCTTAATCAAACTTTCTCAGTATATCTTTTCAAACTACATTTCAAAGGGGTACAGAAAACAAGATGCAGCTTGATTATGCGTCACATTGATAAAGGGCCCCGACTATTTCGGGTTGAGTGACCAGCGGAGAAATTACTACTGGCAGTCGATTTGTTCTAAACTGGAGCACGTCTCTGATGAGGGAGCAGATGTCCTTGCCTTGAATCCTGCAGCCAAATTAAAAAAAGAAGAAAAAAAACTCAAAGCTTATTTTCAGGGTCTCGGCTGGCGAAGACATTTTAAACGTTCCAGTTGAAACATTTGCCCCACTTTTTTTTGTCAGTTAATACAGAATAAGGTATCAGTCCATGAAGCACTCAACTGAATTTGTCTTTTTTTTTTTTTTTTTCCACGGGGTAAGCCGTAGAGCGCCGTGTCTCTTTCCTGCTAAGAGAGGTTGGTGTGAAAAGGGTTTCTCACATTGACTCCTCCCATCACAGATGTTAAGTTAAATTTGGCCCAGGACACCTGCACTGGGCCCAGCAGGAAGTTCTGGAGTGCAGGAGGCGCCCGCCTTCACAGGCTGCTTTTCACACTGATCACTTCTTCCACATGTGAGAGTTTACATATAGTGGTGTGAAGAAGCGGGTTTCACATCATCAAAAAGATGTGAAATACCGGACAAAAATGACCTGAGTTAAATATAAAACGCTGTTTTGAAATGATTATTTTAATTAATAGAGGGGGGGAAAGAATAAATAGAAAACCAATCTGGTCCTTTGTGAAAATATAATCTCTCTGTCCCTATTTTGAAACATGGTTCTTCAAATAATTGTTGTAATTCAGCTTGTCAGTTGGATTTAATGCCAGACTTTAACTTCAAAACTTTATGAATTGTTAAGAAATCATTGCATATGTATTTCTACATGACCAAAAACGCTTTAGTTTCACTGGGTGATGGGCAGGGATTTTCCCTTTTGGACGTTCTGGGATAGAGAGCAGAATTCATTATTTTCTCAAATTAAGTTAAGGTCGTCCAGTCCCTGAACCAACCCAGACCATTACAACAACCCCATGTTTGACTTTAAGATGTCCTTTTGGCTCTGTGGAGAGAAGTCATCTTGTAATCCAGAAATTGTCATCTTGATTTATGTTTTCCTTGGTGAAGCACTTGGCCCCAAATTGCCTGCTGATCTGCATATTGGTGTCTGACTGTTTGAGTGCAATTGATGAATGCAGCTCTAGTGTAAAGTGCTTTAGTGGTCAGCATAACTACAAAAGCTCAATATAAATTAGAAGTAATTTATGTTAAGCTCAATATAAATTAGAAGTAATTTATGTTAGAAGTAATAGGATGCTCTAAGACTCTCCCCTGGATGCTATTTTTTTCCAGCCTCTTCCTTATGAATAATGAGCCCAAATCCCAACTGAGGGAAGGGAATGTTGATGCGCTCCTGCAGGAATTATGATATGCTGGTTCACCATTGGTCCATGTTTTCTGTGGTTTCCAAACTGATGCATGCCATTGATTTTCTCACCCGTTCTTCAATTTCCTCAGATTGGAGCAGAATGTGGCTATTTAAGATGTTTTGCCAACTTCGTGTTGTCAGAATGGTTCTATTTATGTGACTTTTTTTCCCCCACAGGACTAGGTGTAATCAGATCTGGGTTCTGTTGGTGGAATTGGACCAAAATAATGTTCCCTTTTTTGGGTCTTGCGCTAATTTTGTTAATGTAAGATCCTAGTTGTAAATTGAATACATGACTCTACAGTTAATTATGTGTTTAGCCTAAAGTGACATTCTTCCATAATTATTTGTAATAATTATTTTTAATATTTTTTAGTTTTAGTGATGTAAATCATGTGGTGTAAGAATAGCGACAGCATTCAGGTCCTATCTAAGCTACGCTAAAGTAAACTAAACTCAGCTGAATTTAACTTAGCTGAGCTAAGCTAAACTCAGCTAAATCGTTAATCTGGCACACAGTTATTAAACCAAACTAATAAAAAAAAATTCCATTTTATGCTGTACATTGTATTTACCGCACTCCTGTTACCGTTTGAGCTAACACATCCCAGGATAAGAAAATGTGTGAAATAAGTACATAAAGTAGAATAGTGAAGTATTTAAAAAAAATTCAAAACAGACTAATTAAGGTAACAATGCATCTAACTGCATGTAGTGAAAGTGAACCTGAGAGTCCTTTCTTCACACTGATCCTTTTGGATTATCTGCTGTTAAAGCGGATTATCAAACATGTTGCTCTTCAGGTTAAACAGGTGACTTAAGGCCACTGCCTCCACCCCAACAAAATCAGCTCCAACAAAAAAAAAAAAGTTTCTTCATGAGCATCAGTGTCAAAAAATCCCCACTCATGTCTGCCGACACACATACGACACCTGTCCCCCCCCGCCCCCTATCCAGACACACACACTCAGTCCCTCTTGGCATGATCTGTCACACTGATTATGCCGTTACCAAGGGGACGTGGTGAAGTGATCCTCTGCTCTGCGGACATGTTTACGAGGAGGAGACGAGCTGAATTTGTCCATTTATGCAAACATCTGCACCAGGAAATGAAGGAAAGACCTGCACACCTGCAGTAATCGCGTCACTAGGAAAAAAACCTTCCCTCTCGAAACGCTCCGGCAAAAGTCTGGCTTCAGCTTAAATGCAGCCAAATCCAACTTATTTTTCAAAGTTCTACGATAAAAATCAGAAGGCCTAATTAGAATATCTCTGCAGCTGCTCTAATCAGACTATTTCCACTGGGAACATGGAGGCCATTAAACCAGCATAATTGTATTTTATTTTTAGAGAGGTACATCATGCTACCTCATGCTGGATTGTCTGATGCCATGAAGGCAAGAACATATCCCTTTTGTTTAGGCACTCAGATATAAAACAAAGACATTTCCCATTCCTGGTGGTGAAGCTGTTTGTTTTCCCTCTGCCTGT